TGCAATCATGTGCTGATTCATTCGTATTCTTCCACTTCGCCTATCCTCAGCCCTAATCAAATCAATCAGCTCATCCTGATCATTCGAACACTGAATTACCTCGATATTGAGCACTTTTTATGCATTGCTTGCAAAAATTGAGTTTGCTGATTGGACCTACTGTAGTGGGACGCCAAAACAAACAACTCTGAACAGGGTACAGACATTGTTTTGTGAACACATTATGGGTTCGCTACTTTTACATTGGGTGGGGAATGGGCGGAGTTGTACGTGGTCGTTGCTGAAAGAGGGGGAGGAGTCGTATGTTCTTTTGAGAGAAATTCGCTGCGTTGGAATAAAATTTTTTCTTGCCTGTTGATTTCGTGATTGTCCTGTGTTTGTGCACCACAATCCCCCCCCCCTCCCGCTATATAGCAAAATTTTCTGGTAGCAGTGGGGAAATCCTCGAGAAATTCCGGAAAAAGTGCTATGAAGGGGGAAATCCAAAAAAATTTTCCCATTTCGCATTAGCTATACCCCTCCCCCTCCCACTCGACGGACAATCCTTGGGTGGAAAAATGGAAAATATGGGAAATTGCTAGGTAGGTGCTGGGAAAGGAGGGGGGGGGCGGTTGTATTGACACCAGCCGTTTCACAAATCACCATACTATACTCTGACTCTAAATTTGGGTCCTCGGCAGTATTACGGCAGTATTACGGAGTTCTCTCGACCGCAAAAAGTGTGTACAATTGCAATTTCAACTCCTAGTTTCGCCTGATCTCAAATCCTCCACGAATCAAGTTTAATAAGGAAAGTGGCGGTCGATTAATTCTGAGTTTTTTGAAAGGCTTTTTCAATTCATTTTTTCGACTTCTTTCTCTTTTCAGTCTACTAGGTTTCATGTAGCTGGTTTTTCTGTTTTCCTTACTCGTTTTTATCATTCTTGCGAATTTTCTATTCTAAATGATCCTCGATCATGAAACTTTGCACAAAACAAGTCTATTATGACTACATGATAATCGACGTCACTACGATTTTCCGTTGTCCCTGTACATCTCACCTTCTGCACTAATCGCCGCTAACAGGCATTGCGACTTGATCCTGATCATCCAGTGAACGTGATGCATTTGATGCATTCGTTAAAGGAACGAGAAGTCTTTTTTTCCCCATCACGGTACGGCCAAGGCGGATGTTTTCACTCGTGTAGGCTGCATTCCAATGAAAATCGCAGAAAATGACTCGTACAACAAGGCGGTTCATGTGCGTATCACAAGTTTGTTTAGATGTGCTGAAGGTGAACAGTAGTTGTGACGGATAAATAAGATCCCTCGATCTCAGTGCAGGGGAGGCGGCCGAAACGTGTTGGCCCCCATGAAGGGATTGACAAAAGGCTGTAGACCGCGTGTGCATAAATTCCACGGGGCCAACCCAAAGCACGCTTGTCCGACACATCAGTAAAGTTCACATATCAGTAAAGTTAACGCAGCCTTGAGAGAAGATGGATAATACGAAGGCGAAAGATACCCGAGAAGTTCCTTGACAAGCAGAAGCAGGCTCTCGCCTATCACCTCATGTACTCCAAAATCTGAAGCCATCCCCTATCGCAGTCTGACTGGAGAAGGCCTGTGGAAGCTGCGAAACTTCTTGTATGGAGTCACCCATGGACGTGGTTACCTGGAGACCGACATTAAACTGGACGACCTCCAGCATCGAGCAGCTTCCACAACGCCGCATGGACCAGAATATCATCTTCTCTGCAGTCGCCAAGGCGCGGGTTGATAGTATGGACCGGAAGTTCCTGGCTGTGGACACTGGAGTAAAAGTGAACGCTGACTGTTACATGGACAGCTCGAGGAGAATATCCTGCCTTCATGTCGTCGCCTGTACCATCTTGGAAACTTCGTGCCGCTGAAGGATTGGGTGCCACCTCACGGAATCGAAGGGCGTCGGAAAAGCTTTCGCTTACCTGGAATGGAAATGCGTTGAGTACCTGAAAAAGACGGAATATCTGAGTGTGTCAACTGACCTAAGCCCACCTCGATTATAGAAGACCTTCGGAGTTGTTATTGGAGACCTTCGGAGCTGTTCGTAGCTTCGAAGTGCCAGGCCGTGAAACGATGTATCAGCAACTATAATGCTCAATCTTGGTAGAGCGGAGACGATCAGAGTGCTCTCTGTTGGCGTTGGCTGCGAGCGATGTCACTTCCGTGATAAGGACGCCCAATAAGTGATGTGTGAGTTTATATTGATTCCAGTAGGAAAAGTGGTACGAAATTAGCGATAAATGGCGTTAACGTTAAAATGCTGTATCAATAGTTGTTGGGGAAAAATGAGCTTGCCTTTTGTAAGCATTCACATTTATATCCTGCTCCATACCTGCTTCATCTTGCCTAGGAGAGTTGAGGTTCTGCCAATCTCGTGCTGCTAAAATTTTGGGAAACATTTGTAGTAGTGAAGCTATCCGACGACCTTTTTACTGAAATACACAAAAACATTTGTCTGGACACTTTTTACCGTTCTCTGTTGACACTCTTTCAGCAGATTCTGATAATGGTCTAACTCTATCCGAAGTTAAACCGTCTCGAGACAATAATGGCTGATTCCGCTCGATTTTCCAGCTCTCATACCCGCCGACTCCGCGATCATGTCCGATTTCCCTCCCACAGCCGTATTCAAGGCAAGACACAGTCACTCATGTAGGTCCCAAGAGGCCAACCCAGAGTGCGACAAGTAAACAGCCTGGAGATGGACATAAACGGTGCTGGCCTGTCCTTAGCCAGTGCATGACACCAGAATACGAGCGTTGGCCAAAGCGGTTTCCGATTTCACACACAACACCTTCAAAATGTCATAATTCTAAAGTGATTTAGATATTTTTTACTCCATTCAAACAGATTTGTAAGGCATGATAATTTGGTACTTGCTCAGATGTAGTGAGAAAATACGGCAATAAACGTAAAAGCGCAAAGTGGGCGATTAAGAATAGAAGTTGCAAATATGGCGTCGGAGGGTACAGTGGTATGCGACGAACAACCTTGCACCGGTTTCGCAGCAGAAAATTCTAAGAGAGGACAATATCGGAGGAGGGGAAAACTCACCCAGGCTCGCATGCGTGCGGTCACCGCGGCGGCACGGCAAGGAGAAAGGCGATGGCCCGCGCCTGCGCCTCTGTGTTCCGATCAGCAGTCGCTTTTATGTGGAAGGAAAAAGAGAGAAAAGGGGATTGAACAAACAGTGGATGCGTATAGTTGAGTTGGTAGTAGTGGTCAAAGAATACAGAAAAGTCGACTATCAGAGCGAATTAGTTCACTAAATGGCGAAATGGTTCCCTTCGATTACCGCCATACCGTTATAAGGTCACATCCAACTGTTGGCAATTTGCCAAGCCTCACCTTAAACGTTAGCGTAAGAGCTGTTTCCGCGTTTTCACAATCGAAGGGAACTAATTCGCCACTTTTGCCATTTGCTGAAGTAACTGCCGTGAAAGTCGACCTTTCTCTGTTTTCTCACACTACCACTAACTCACCTGTAAGCATCCACTATCGCTCCAGAGGAGGGAAAAACTCACGCGCATCGGCGCGTATGCAGCGCGGTTTCTTCACGGCGCCGCGGCGGCAGGGCGGAGCGAAAGGCGGTGGCCCGCGTCTCCGGCGCTGTGCTCCAATCCAGCAGCCCCTTTTATGTGGAAGGAAGAGGAGGGAAAAGAGAGAGAGGAAGGGAATTGAACAGATAGTGGGTGTATATGTGAGTTAGTGGTAGTGATAAGAGGTTAGAGAATGTCGTCTGTCACGAATTACTTCAGTGAATGGCAGAACTGGCGTCATAGTTCCCTTTAATTGTGCCAAACGACGCCCAGCAGCTTTTTACCACCGAAAGCTCAGCTGAGTTGGCATGCCAACAGTTGGTTGTGACCTTATAACGCTATAATGTCACGTCCCATTCGAAGGGAACCATTCTGCCAGTTCCGCTGACTGAAATAATACGCTCTGATTCTCGACTTTTCTGTATTCTCTGCTCACCACTACCACTAACTCAGCTATGAGCGTTTACTATTTGTTCAGTCCTCTTTTCTCTCCTCCTCCTTCCACATAATGGGCATAAAAAGGGGCTTCTGATTGAAGCACAGTGGCGGAGGCGCAAGCGATCACCCTTCGCCAATCGCCGTCGGCCGCGGTTGTCGGTGAAAACCGCGCGCATACGCGCACGTTTTGAGTTTGTACTCGGGCCATATAAGCTTCAGTGACGCTCCCTGTCCGCACGTGACTTCCGCTCCCCGACTGCGCCTTCAGGCGGCTTCAGGGAAAAACGAAAAGTTGGCGGACAAAAAGCATGAAAATCGTCACTTGTTTGGTCACAAGGTTCTTGTTGGGGAATCAGCTGTGCGAATGAAGGCGTAGTGCTGGAGATGGAGTTAACTGGGCACGTACAAACTGGAGTCAAAATAGGTTCTATATAGGGCAGTTGGCGTGTTTTTTTCTGCTTCTTCTTCACTATTGAGTTACACAGCACCCTGTTATCTATGTCTGCAAGCTCCTATCCCTTGTCTGTGATAAGAACTGATCGCGGATTTTGCCCTTAAAGTGTTGCGCGAAGCGGCAAGATGTGATGCGACCGTTCGTCTAAATGTGGGCGGGTGGTTGCGATGAGCGTCCTGGATGGCATGTACAGCTTTGTTATTCGCTATAATGGTGCTCTTGATTGTAAACGTTGCCACGCATCGCCTGCCAAGAGGCACAATTTTCTTCCGTGCTGGACATATCGACCTTGTACGTCTTGTCGATTTATCGTGCCATTTTCGTTTAAAATAACTCTGTGCAATAGTTTCGTAGCTCGGTCGCTATCATGACTACGTATTTTATCCAATATATCTCCGAAGAATGGGAAAGACTCGTTTATCAAAAAACGTACATTATTGCACAAAACGTAAACGAACACTATTGCACAAAAATAAATATCTGAATAAAACATGTACATCGCACCCATAATTCAGATCAACATGACTCACACAAAAACATTGTGTTTAGAGTCTAAACACTTTGGGCGGTGGGAAGAGTTTCCTCCATTGCTCTCCAATGTTATCAAGCACTTTTTGGAGACTGGGCGCCAACGTTGGAGGTGGTGGAAGTGGTGGAAGAGTGGGCAACCCTAGAGGGTTCGTTTTGTCACGGCTGTCTTCTTCGCTAGAGGATTTGCTCGTGGTCTTTCCTCCTTTGTCCTTCTTCTGCTGGCTCGTGGTCTTTCCTCCTTTGTCCTTCTTCTGCTGAGCCTCTTTTTCTTTTGCTAATCGTCTTCGTTCAGCTCTCTTTGCAGCCGGCGTTTTTTCTGTGCCAACTTCAGGTGCACGGTCATCGGGAACTTCTTTTGAATACGTAGTTAAACCAACTTTTTCTTCACGAGATTTCGATGATTTATCTTCATCTGAATCATGCTCGTCGTCGTCCATTGACTTTTTCTCATTTGAGCTGTTCCCAGTTGACTGCGTTGTTGCACTGCTCGTCGTGCTCGTTTCATCATCCTTGCCGCCTTCGCTGGATCCACTTCCTTGTTTTGACTTGATGGGCTCAGTCTTTACCTTTTCCTCGTCTTCTTCGTTCGTACCTTCTTCGTCACTTTTCTTCTCTAGAGTACTGTCCTCCTTCCGCTTCTCTTCGGCTTCAAGAATGGCCTCTCGGCTCATGATTTCCTCTTTGTTATCGAACTCTTTGAGCTGCACCGTCCTCACCGGTATTTCAGCACTTGTCTTCGGTTGAGCCGTTGTTTCGTTGTTTTCTGTGCTAGTGCTAGGATTTTGTATCAGTGATTCATCGTTTTTATCTTCTTTTATGCTTTCAGAGCTAATTCCTTTGTCATTCTTTTTCTCCTGATTCCATTCGCTGTGGCCTTCCTTGGAACTCGTTGCTTGAACACTTGTGGGCGTTTCCTGGAAAAATAAAACTTAACCAAAAAAACTAATAACCAAATGTGCTATTAGATGTTCAGTAACCACCATGTGCACTCTAAGCGTATATGCTGCTCAGGGGAAGTCAAATTTTGTAACAAATTAACCAAGGCCCGCAGTCAGCAGGAGCCCTTTCGAGTTCTCAGGGAAAAGTTCTCAGTGGTCCAACTTGTACGCTCAGACAATCGACGCTGAATTCATCCATCCGCTCTCCCTGGTCGGGGTGACTATTATGGGCCCCTACTCTCCCATCATTTATGCCCGTTCCTCCTCTTTTGAACTTTCGAATGGAACCTTCCACATTCCGGCGCAACTACTAGCCCAGC